CTACCAAATATAATATTTATTCAAAACAGGTCTGGTATCAAGAGATTTTTTTTCTGTTTCAAATGACACTAAAAATGGATATAACTCAAAGCAGGTTATATTCATTTTTAGTGTCATTCGAAACAAAACAAAAAAAAAAAAAAAATACTCTAGATACCAAACCTGTTTTGAATAAATGTTATATTTGGCAGATATCTGCAACATGGGACAATTCAGACCAACTGACGTACCAATATGGGAGTAAATAGTTTTTTAGGTAGAAACAAAGTTAATATTTGTTCTTCATGCCTCAAAAAACCATTAAATACGAATATTTATTGCAATAAAAAAAAAATTATTTTCTGCACAAAATTTTGTCAACAACCATAAAAATGTTGACAACTTTAGAACAGTTCCACTGATCCACTCAATCTAAAATTTACCAATGTGAGTTGGAAGAACATTAATTGAGCTTTCCAACAGTTGTAGTAACCTTGAATTTGGAGAAAATTCTGAGAAGTTATGATTGCTTTAGTTATCGGTAAACAATAACTAACAAAAATATATTTGGCCCATTTTACTGGAAGCGCTTTTTGGTTTTTGTAATTTATGATAAATTATAACTCATTTAATACAATAGTGCATATTTTTTCTAGTTCTGCAAAAACAAAATGAAATCAATTGATAAATAATAACCTTAAAATCTGGACAAAGCAAAGGCAAAAATAAATAACATAAATTTAGTTTAAGTTATATTTTAAAAAAATTTTCTCGACTCCTAGTGCGGGCATATTAAAACAGACGCTGGAATCTGTGTCCAATATTTTTCTATGTAATATCACAAAAAACATTTGTTGAAACCGGTATCCCCCACTGACTGTAGTCTCCCTTGTTAGTGTGGCCATGTTAATATTTTCCTTGCATCTTTCTTCATATCTTTTTTTTTCTATATATTTTTGCTCCACCCTTTTCGTACTATCTTCTTTTCTAATTTGAGACTTACCATTCTCCATTAAATAACAAAAAATAACAATTTTAGTCCTGTTTAACTTAACTCAGCCCTTATGATTTTTTGCTTTAATATTTGTATAGGATATATTTTTCTGTAAAAAAATTCATTCTTCATTATCTATTCTCATTTTTATCTTGGAACTGAATCTACTTGTTCTTGTTTTACTCCTCTCGGAAAATGTTATGCCTAATAACCCTTTATTACTTTTATTTCTTAATCTTAACATTCTGTGGAGTTGTTTTCACCCTTGATTCTTGTTTGGTTTTCATTATTTATTATTAATGACATCAATAGCATTGTTTTATAGTATTAATCAAACATTTGTTGCCGAATGAAGGAAAACCCAAGGCTATCATAGTCTGTTTAATTTCCCATAAACTCAGTTAATATGAAGTTTGTTTCTTCATTATATTTGATACTACCTTTATATGATGTATGTAGTTAGGGAAAGTATAGCGAAGTTACAAAAATTAGAATTTGATCAGAATTCTAACAGAACTTTTAGATGTTCTATTCAGAACATCTAGTAATAAAAATATTTTACACGTTAGCTTCGGTTACGGTCCCCGCCGTCCGATAGCTTTATATCGGTTATAATGATTATTTTGCCTTTGTGTCTATCTTTACATCTATCCAACTCCCATTTAAATATTTTTAAAAATGACCATTTTAGGGACTTCGTAAGATAGGGAAAATTCGAAACAATCCCAGCCAAAGTCGAGAGGAATATCGGAACCCGGAGACCATAATTGCAGCTAATGTGTTAATATAAATTATGAAGGAATTTCATTGTCAATGGAAACAGTAACAAGGACTAGGCATATAGGTCCCAGAACCAATGAACTCTTCAAGCACACTCGAAGATGGTTTATGATTGCATTTAAACCTATCACACTTGCATAATATGCTATGTTATAAGTATGGAACACACAGGCCCTGAGTGCATGGTTTTCGTAATCGATTACAACAATAAAAGTTAAAATTTGTATAAATATTAAACAAATAAAAATACCCATAATATTAAAGAGAGGTTCCTCCACCTACGTTCTATATTATAGACCAGCGTTTCTCAAAACATTTTTTGCCTCTGCACTCAGTCTGAAGAGAAACCTGGTACTTTCAGATTTAAGTAAATAATTAGAATATACAGTCATAAAAAGAAATGGATTGTAATGAAAAACACTTAAATTTATTATATATTTGTTTATATATTAGATAGGGGAAAACATATGCTAATTGTTTTAAAGGAATATGTTATACAGTCAATATTTTTTACTTTACTTACCCATGTATGTAAAGTAAAAATTTTACCATTATTACTACTTAAAGTGGGGTGATAAGTGAAAGTGCTGAAATGCATGAACCACGCTAAATTTTGTTTTTTGTTCTACTGTAGATTTCTATGTTTGATCATTTTTTGGGTTATCTGGAAAATAATGTAGGATTTTGAGTTTTCTTTAAAATACCCCTCTATGTAACAAACTGCTTACGTTTACTGGATTATTCTATTTGTATGAACATTAACACTTATTCATCCTCTTCCGAACGATTAAGTTTGTTTACCTCTGTAGCATTTCACTGCTTACAAATAATTCAGTCTTTATTAAGATGTCAACTCGTGATTTCGTATAATTTTGTTTTACAAGTTTAAACTTTACCAGAATAGAGCCCAGACTACCAGAAACATCTATCAAGTCTGGGGCGACAGCAGCATTAATGAGTGCACTGTGCAGTGGTGGTTCAAAAAATTTCGGAATTGAGACTTCAGCCTTGAAGACAAAGGAGGTCGTGCAAGGACTTCCTCTCTTGATAACGATGTTCTGCGGGCTCTAATAGGAGAAAACCCCAGAACAACTGTTTAAGAACTTGCAGGGAAACTTAACCTTAGCAAATTAACCATCAGTAGCCACCCTCGTCACTTGTAAAAAGTGACATTGTCTGAGACAAGCGTGAAGCCCCAGAGCTCCTGTGCAGCAAAGGGAGTCCCGCACTCGCCAGGCACCGTGCCTTGTGGCAGCGATGCGTGCGCATTCCCCCCCCTCCTCCCCTGGAATTTAAAAAAAAATTCTATAAGAGTCACTGCTTCTTAAATCCTGCAGAAACCATCAATGCTGAATCGCACTGTACCCAAATTAATGCAATGCATCAGAAATTGGCAATAATGAAGCCAGCCACCTTTAGTCAATCAGAAGGGACCCATTTCATTGCATGACTACACCTGGCCACATGTATCGCGTATGATGTCATAAAAATTGTTGGAGATTGTATATGAAACTCTGCAACATCCATACTACTCTCTGGACCTCTTGTCGATAAATTATCATTTTTTTAGACACCTGGACCACTACTATGTGACATAAAATTTAATAGACAAAGGAAATTAGAAAATGTGTTTTTTGAGTTTATCAATTCTAAAGATGGGAAATTCTATTCCAAGGGAATGGAAAAGTTGCCAACACGTTGGCAGAAATGTATTGATAGTAGTGGAGACTATTCTGATTAAATAAAGCAATTGTAAATCTTTATTTTTTCTTTTTAAACCGAAATCCAGCATTATTTTCCGGACAACCCAATACATTATCAGAATGTAATATATGATACTTTAATCAATTTGTAATATATGGTACTTCCAATCCCTAAGTTCTATTCAATTGGATTTTTTAAAATAAAAATGTTAATTTTAATGAGTTATAATAATAGTGTTCTACAATGGTGCTAGGATAAATGTGAATCGATTAGTAATTTGTTTTATTTTCTTACTATTTTTAAATTGAACTCAAAACATTTTTTAGGTTTAAGGGATGTTATGCTCTACTACTTACTGTTTAGCTATGCTTTCAACCTTACCAATTTTTTACGTAATTCTGTAGTTTTATTATTTGTAGAATCTTAAATTTTTGTATTTACCATTATTATATTTTTTTCTCCCTTCATTAACCTAAGTTTTTTTTCTTAGTAGTCTCATTACATATTATATATTTTTGTGTTGTTGGACATTAAACAAAATATTGTGAAATGTCTGTGATCACTTTCTTTAATATTTACTTTCCAAAATTTTGGTTTTCTTGGGCAATGATAAGAAGGTAACCTGCAACAATTCATCAGAGAGGAGTGTACAATGAATATCTGTTTTTTTGTTTTTACTGCTCTTTTATTTTTATTAGTCACTGAATTCTCAACTCCCGAGCATAGTTTCTGGTCTGACTAGTAGAAAATTTCTTTTCTCTTTTATATCAGCTGCTATGGGTCAGAACAGTTTTTTCTCCATTATATCGACTGTTTACCAGCTTTGGGGTCATAAGATCCTCCTGTTTGACTCAATTGTTATCTGGCACTTGTTACTTGTCCAATTAAAAGTTGTTCTTATGCTTATTGCTTCATTAGGATAAATATTTATCTCTTCCTTAACTGCTTCATTTTTATTTTCTATTGTAAAATACTCATATATATATATATATATATATATATATATATATATATATATATATATACATATACACAAATCTCATTAGAAAGAAACTTTCTTTATTATGTTCTTTTATTGTTTTTTAATATCTACTATGGGCAATATATCACCATCAAAAATCATTATTTGGTCTAGTATCGGGAGATTTTTATATTTTCTTATAGCTTACTGTTCTTTTATAGAATTTTATTTCATCCAGGTATATATAGTATGAACAGATTCATCATTTAATCTCTTCCTTGTTTTATTTTTTTATTGTTGTGAAAAGATAAAATATTTTTTTATTATATTCAGAACAATATTTTTAATCATGTCTCAGCTAGCTAAAATTTAACTTGAAGTTGAAAAAAAAGTTTTTATTTTCTTTTTCATTAAAGGCATCAATTTATCTATAGATTTTTTTCTATTGGAAATAAGAAATGGTACAAATGGTGGCGCAGCATTCTGATTTTAGGTTCTCTATTGAAAACTTTTTAACATAATAAGAATTTCTATGTGTACGTTGAGCGTCCATTATGAAGTACAGATGTACTTATGTTATAGTTATTGGGCGTGGAGGGGAGCAGATAACACGTCTTCAGAGTGAATCTGGTTGTAAGATCCAGATGGCCCCAGATTCAGGAGGTACACCTGATAGAATTTGCACACTCACTGGAAATTCTCAAGCTATAAGGTGAGCAGATACCTGAATTTTCTAGTTATTATATATTTTTTACTTAGATGTTTTCTTCTTATTTCTTTTTTCTCAATTTGTATATAATAGTATGAATGTACACATAGAGCCTTAATGCCCAATGCCCTTGATTGTGGCAGATTGTATTATTATCTACTTAATCAATTGTGAAATAAAAATAACATGGATTTTAACAAGGTTATTCTGGGTTTTAATCGTAAGCTTGAGTCATTTTTTCTTTCTTTTACAATTTCAAAGTTTTTCTTTAAAGGATTAATGCTCGTGGAATTTTATCCTATTTATTTTTTTTAAAAAAATATTTTTTCATTTTAGTAACTTATTAATTAATCTTCTACATATCCAAAAAAATTTGTTACTCAAACAACATATTCTAATATTTTTTGCCAATTCAGTTTGTGTTTTATTGATATCCTAATAACGATATTAATCTCTATGAGTGCATTAGACCAGTGATACATTTCTATCAATATTTTTTTATGACACCTGTGAGATTATTGAGCCATAAATAAATTTTCAAGATTAATGTAAAATGCCTCGATTTGGGCTAGGGGTTTGGACTATATAAGTTCAAGCACCCCGTTTATAAATTATTTTTTCTAAGAAGCATTAAATTCATTTTGAACCAGTAAATATTAAATTAATTATTTTTTATTATCACTTTTTTTATTTTTTAAAACAGGAGATATGAATTTTTTTTTCTTAAGAACTGAAAAACGAAGTTTAAAGAAATATAAAAGGGCCTGACTATCATAGTTGAGATATGAAACAAAAACCAATATATTCTAATTCAAATGTCTTAGAGCAGGGAAGGTAGTGGAGTAATAGAGTAGAGGAGCTCCCTCTTGTATTCATTAAGACTGTACGAGCCTGCATGATTTGGACCTAATAGACTTTTACACTGGCACTCATGAGTTATTTATGAGGAGAGAGCTGTTGTGAGATTTGCCATTTGGTGACCAATTTGGAGCTAAACCACAAATTGATTAGGTACGGGAACCTGCAAATGAAAGTGTATAGTTGGATTCAATGTCACTCTCGGTTAAAAACTGTCTTAACACACAACCCTTTGAATGTGAAAGCTCATTCGAGTGTTTCTATCAGACGGTGGGTCCTGGAAGATGTCAGAAAAACAGATCTTTTTGTTTGCATAAATTTGTTGAAAATACTATTTTGAGTCACCATGCAAGATCTTAGCTTTAAAAAAATGCATTTTAACCTTTTTATTCAACTTGTAATAAATGGGACATATGCCTTCCCAGGCGCACATAGCAATGCAAAATTAGAGCGACAATCCTGCAACACTTTGCTTTCTTGTTTATTTTCTAATTTATGAAAATTAAAATAACTGTAAGTGATCATTAAAATTAAATTTATATTATTCCTAAAAAAGGGCACTAATGGCAGGATTCGAAGTATAGATTTCTTTAATTGTGGGTTTATGGTTGACTAGTGAATAATGAAGGGAAGGGTGGTTAGGGTGATCAGTCAAAATAAAAATGGCAATAATAAATAATAATATTTATTTTAACATTTGCTGACTTTTCGACCCGAAGTTCGGGCCTTCATCAGGGCTGATTGAAGCAATCGCTTGAATAGAATGAGAAAAGATTTCTTTGTATTTACAAATTTTTTTTTACCTAAAAACTTCCATATTAAAATATAGTGCAGTTATAAATTTTATTATTGCACTTACATTTATTTTGATATTTAAACACTTAAATATTATATGAAATATATATATATTTTTTTAGGTGGATAGAAAAATGATAAAACAACCGAAGTATCATTTTAATTCTGTATATTTTTATATTTATTAATTTTTACCATTACATTTTAATTTTTATATATTTATCTATTTATTACATATTATATATATATATATATATATATATATGTATAATATGTAATAAATATATAAATGTAGGAAACTTACATATATTTGTTTAGTAGACAGATTCACGTGGACAAAAATCAGCATTCAGTCAAAACCTAAATTAAAAAAAAGAAAGGAAAAAATTATAAAATTAATTTATTAGATGTATAAAACATTTAAGTAGAATATAAATCAGATCATGGATATGATACAAATAACAGGGAAAGGACATACCTTTGGTTCAAAATAAATCTGCAATAGATTGCTTCCAAATAGTCAGAATCCGGAACAAGCGCACAAAGTCAGCTACAGAGAACTAATGAATACACTCACTGATCAAGCTACAAGTCAAATGATAAGGTGGGACTTGCCCCTACCACTTTAATTGGTAAATTTAAGGCGGAAAGGCATATTCTGGCCGTACCAGTAACCGAATTTACTGCTGGAAAAATATATATCCCGTCCGTACCAGTGATCAAACTCCTAACGGGAAGGCATGTATCCCATTCACAGTTCAAGGGTTATACGATCCCATCGGACGTATACACCCATTCACTGATTTACCCAAGGGACCATGGCAGGCATATACACTTGCCATTGATATCCCTAAACAAGCTTGTTTTTGTTCAAATTCTCAAAAATAACCTAAATATGATTAAATACACATACAAAATAACTACCAAGGGTAAAAATAAGAAATAAAAACTGTAATATCCTTATGGACAATAGCCTGCTCTTGTTTTTATTTATTTAATCCTAATATTTTTTAACTAAAATAAAAGCTGATGCTTTTTTTTTTTTAAACAGTATATTACTACTTCTGAGAGAAAAAAAACAATTTTCTCTACGAATAAAGTTTCACTTGAATGGCTTGGTCGTTAAAGTGTTGAATTAAACATTTAAACTATTTTAAAACATTGATATGATTAAAGATTTTTTTTTTCTTTTTGATTTATTGACTTCTGCGAGGTCTTTCCAATATTATTAAACTATGCTTTGGTTTTTAACATGTTTAAAAACAGAGTTTTAGGGGTTGAATTTTATCTTTTTATTTTTCAAAACTGTTGATAATTTGTTATTTAGAAAAATTTGCCACATAATGTAATTTCATTGAATTTGGCGCTTGTAAGTCAAAGATGTTCTTTAAATTTAGCATTAAGAGTATATTGTAATAAGCATTTTCAGTTCATGGTAAATTGAAATTAACTTGATGTCTACAAGAAGAAATAAGTTGGGTTTTCTCTAGAAAAAGGACTTATTTGCTCATCTTTCAGGTTATGTTGAGAAGTGGGTTAAGACTTTGGACACCTCACTCCTGGAAAGTACTTAATTAAAAACCTTCATGACTGTATATGTACTTTTTTATTGAAATATATTTTGATTACATTATGTTAGTGAATTTATATAGAGTGTATCCATTTATTTGTTTATCCATAATTTTTGTTTATATACATATGTATATATATATATATATATATATATATTACACTTGTAAGTATGTATACTCATGTATTGAATTTGTTTATCTCCAGCCGTGCCAAGGAATTAGTTAATGCGATTGTTCATCAGCGTTATAAAACTGAGGGTCCGGGAAGTGATCCTCCACGCAATGACATGATGCCTGGGACTCCACAACCTCAAAGTTCACATAATCCATCATTTGTAAGTGTTTTTCCTGCTTTTTTTCAATTATACTCTTATGTATAATACTTTAATAGTAATATATTTCTTTATATATCTTTTCATTGATAATAGGTGGAAATAATGTTACCGGGACCTAAAGTTGGTCTTGTAATAGGCAAAGGTGGTGAGACAATTAAGCAGTTGCAAGAAAAATCAGGTAAGTGTTTAGTTTTCCAATTAGTTCTCAAGTAATTTTATAAAACATTAATATTATTTTTTCATTTGTTAGGAGCTAAAATGGTGGTTATTCAAGAAGGTCCGAATCAAGAAGCAGAAAAACCCCTTAGAATAACAGGCGACCCACAAAAAGTTGAAGTTAGTGTTATTTTCGATGAGTTATAAATAATACTACAATTTTATTTTTAAAGATGACAAATTTTGTTTTATAATTTTAAAAAATTAATATCTTTGTATTTTATTTTCTTTTTTGCAGCATGCTAAAGCATTAGTTTATGAACTTCTTGCGGAAAAAGAAAACCAGGTAGTTAGTTTTTCTTTAGTTAATTTTTTTTCTTTTAAAAGTTTAAAATATTTTTTTAAGGTTAATTCCAATGAGGACTCTAGTTCATCCTTGCTCTTTGATCCATAATGACGTTAATATGGTAGCTGAGTTCAGATTGTTTAAACTGAATTCAGTCTGAGGAGTTGACTTTAATTTTGTATAATTTCTGAACTATGTCTATTTATCTAAGATTTATGTTTATAAGACAAATACTGTGATAGTTTCAGGCAAGAGGTGCCATGAACAGAGGTGGGGGAGCTGGAAGAGGCGGTTTCAGTGGTGGGCGTGGTCCATTTGGTCAACAGAGGGGTGGTGAAGAAGCCCAATATATTGTACCTTCCAACAAGTGTGGTGTAATTATTGGAAGAGGTATGTTTCACATGCAAAATAAATAGATTTATACCATAATAATCTTTTAGGGACAAGTTCTTACTATTCTCATGTTATTTGATTCTACATCATGACCTTATGTACCATAGGCGGGGAGACTATTAAACAGATCAATCAAGCTACAGGAGCTCACTGTGAGCTGGATCGCCGACCTAACAATAATCCTAATGAGAAAATTTTCTTAATACGAGGAGCACCTGAACAAATCGAAGCAGCCAAACAGATGATTTCTGAAAAGTTAGGACAGGGCCCTCCTGGTCCTGGGGGATTTCAACCTCAACAGCAGTGGGGAGGACCCCCACAACAACCTTATCAGCCACCTTACAATCAACAACCAGTAGATCCAAGTAAGTACATCGTAATGAAATGAAATGAAATGAAAAAGTAAATTTTATTCTGAGTCATTCAGCCCCCTAAGAATAATTATAAAGAACAATTTATTGACATTTGTCTGGCATACAAGCTAATCATCTTCTTGTTGTTAATTGAATTACATTGCTATTGAGTCTTTATATTCAAATAAAGAAAGGCACAAGTTAACATTTTAATTTTAGGTAGGTGTATTAGAGTGTGTTTACATATAGACATTGTGTAATATGTATGTATCTGTGGAAAGGCAGTAAAATGAGTTGACAGCTCTGAAAAAACATAAAAATATTACTCTTCCATATATTTGAAAGTTTGATTGCTGAGGAGATGGATAAATAAATGTGGGTAAGGATGAGGATTTGCGTGCGGAAGTAGGTAAGGAATTCCAAAACAAGGTAGTGCGTATGAGAAAAGATTTTTTAAAGGAAACAGTTGTATGAGAAGGAATAAAGAGGTTTGTGGGCTGGGATCTCGTGTTAAAAGAATGTACAGAGGAGCAGGGATTAAACAGATCAAGAAGGTAAGAAGGTTTTTTTGTTGCAAAGGTTCGGAAAAGGAAAATACCTAGGAAGTATTGCCATCAGCAAGCTGGATAGAGCCACTTCAGCTCGGTGTATGTTCTGTAGACGTTGGGAGCGCCTGGGGCTCCAAAGATAAATCTAATGAAACAATTCATTAGTCTCTTCAATCTGATCTCAAGCCCACCAGACAGTCTACTGTTTACAAGGCAGTCATAATCAAAGTGAGGTAAAATGAGAGAGGAAACTAGGAGCTGACGGGTTTTTAGGGGCAAAGAATCCCGGAATCATAGGAACTGTTTTAAGGTAGCAATAGATTTTTGGATAATTTGGGAAATATGATTGCTCTATGAAAAGTATTAATCGAAATTACTCCAAGATTTCTAACGGAATTGTAGAAATAAATAGGTAGTCCAATGAGGTAGAGTATAGGATAATAAGGGATGGAATTGATAAGAGGCTTGGAACCAGTAAGAATGGCTTTGGTCTTCTCAATGTTCAACTTCGTCATTTCTCGCTGCTCGATACCATCTATATCTTCCTGTATCCATCATATCGCCTCAAGCATCTCGGTAGGATGGAAGGAATGGTAGATTTGAAGGTCATTGGCATAAAAGTGGTACTGCGGTGATATGCAAAACTTGAACTTTAGTAATATACAGTTACACTACTGCATAGGTAACGCAGTATTTCTTCTTAAATTTTCTATGAAACAAAAGAAGGATAAGGATTTTGTTTCAAGAATCAATTTTGCTGCAAATAGATTTGTTTTATTTAGGTTTGGTCAATTGTAGAAAAATAATAAACAAAAACTTTTTTGTCTACATTTCAATCTATTTAAAATCTATTGCACCGCAACACAACAAAAAAATGACCAGTAGTTGAGAATCTCACAAAGTTATTAGTGCTTTATCAGAGGGATATCAGGAATCAAAGAGGAAGCAGGTTTAGAAACGAGAGGATTTTGATAGTTATGAAGTTTATTATGGAAGGATATGTATCTAGATTGGGCCAAATCAGAAACATACGAACATTTAAAGTCTTAATGGATTATTTTATTTGTGACAAATTAAGGAGCATTGAGGATTTTAAGAAGGATTTTGGATTGTAAGGATTATTGGGTACGAGAATTTGATGGGGAGCCCCATAGCATAGCTCAATTCTGTGAGTCCAGATAGGTCTTATTATAGTCATGTATACGAATCTTTTGTAATTAATTGCAAGTTTAGAGCCTTTGTCTAGTAAGTATTAGAGTAAGCGGAAAAGTCTAGCAGTTTCTTGTCGTTTCAGTCTGAATTTTCTGAAGATTCCAAGTGAGATGTTTGTCCAGGTGGAGTCCTAGGTATCGCATTTGTTCAACAGGGATAAGTGGGGTGTTATTAAAGGATACTGTAGGACGGAAAACATAGGTTTACGACGAAGAGTAAAGGGGATTTATTTTAATCCTCCAGTTTTGACACCATTGTACAAGTTTTGTGATTTTGATTGAAGAGTTTAGGATGCAATTGATGGATCATTATTGACTGATAGGATACATGTGCCATCATCATACGTGGTGATGACAGTGTTAGGATGGATTGGGATATCAGCTGTATAAACTTTGTAAAGAATAGGCCCAAGGAATACTACCTTGAGGAACACCAGCAGATTGAGGAAAGAGAGATGAATAGGCGTTATTGTGATTTACTTTGAAGTGTCTATCACTAAGGTAGGATCTGACGATGATAAATTATGTAGGGGGAGGAATTTACGGAGTTTGTAAACCAATCCCAGATGCCAGACTTAATCAAATGCCTGTTCAACATCAGGAAAGATTCCAGTGAGATACATTCCGCACTCCAATGCAGAGGAGACGTCTACCACACGATGCCATTGCAGGATAGTGGAATGGGATGTACGGAATCCAAATTGTTGATCAGGGATTATGTGGTTATAATCTAGGATAGGATACAGGCATTTAAGATGAGATTTTCCAGAATTTTGCCCATGATGAGTCAAAGAGAGATAGGACGGTAAGAGGATGGATATTCTGGTAGCTTTTTGGGTTTATGGATCATTTTGATAATTGGTAGTTTCTAAGAGTCAGGAAAGTATGTGGCACGGAGTACGGCGTTATATATGTAAGTAAGGAATAGAATGGCCTTTCGAGGAAGTAGTTTAAGGATATGGGATGTGATTAGGTCGTGGCAAGGGGCTTTGCGGGAGAGTAATCTGTGAATAATATTGGATATTTCTAAAGGATGAAATGCTTTAAGAGGAGGGGTCATTTAGAGTGGAATATCCAGTTCTGCATCAATACATTCAAGGTGATTTGGATTAAGCACAACAGGATGTGGATTAAAGGTTTTGAAGAGGTTGTGATAAAAAATTTGGAATTTTTCTACATCGGATTTGGACCAGGTTTGAGCTTCAGTAAGAAGTGTATGGTTACAGTCTTTAAATTTCAGGAGCCTTTTAAAGGTCGTCCACCTACCAACACCTACTTACACCTACCAAATAAAGTGATTATTTGGTAGGTGTAAGTTTTTCAGTAAAATTTAATAAATTTTATATTTTCTAATTTCTGATTTTAGTTTGTTAGTCAGTTGGATGTAATGAGTTATATCTGTTGGATATCTAGTTCTATGCCACTTCGATCTTGTCCTGCCTTTTTTCCATTAATAAGATACCAATATGCTGTGTGGCAAGTTAGTGTCTGTTGTGAATTGTTAATCTTCTGTACAAATGTTATAGGTGTCTTATGAATGCTAGCTGTTATTGATTAGTTTGTCTATGGCATCCTCAATATTTTGTTTTGTCTTTAGCGGAATTTTTAAGTCTAGTTTATTTTCCAAATTACCACAGAATCTATCCCAGTTAACTCGTCCTATAATCAATGTAGGATGTAAGGGTTTTCGAGCAAAGTATGTATGTAGTAAAAACAAAACTGGACTCTGGTCTGAAGAAAGATCATCTAAGGATTTGATTACGTGAAAGGATATTAACACGGAATTTTGATGTTAGACAACCCCATCGTTGGTGTTTAGCATTGTAATCTCCTCCAGAAATGAAGCCTGATCCGAGGGATTGCAATAAGGTGTTGTAGAAACAGATTTCCGCTCCTGCTAGATGGAACAATGTACAGGTTAGCCTTTCCGCTACCAGGCAGTGCTCTACAAGCTCGCCCGTGCAAAATACCCAAAATTGTATCTTTTATTTCTTGTTACTAAATTTTTAAATTGGAATATGTATAAACATTGTAAATGCTTTTAATAATAAATGTTAATGGCGATAACATATACTAATCAAAGCTCAAAAATAACTGTTATTGTAATGGCTCTTGGTAGCCGGTTTAGTCTTGACGGAATAAATACTCAGTCAAATTTCAAAATGTTAGATTTACGGATCTCCACCCCTTCAGGGTGTAGACCTTTATGCAGATGGTCAGTATTTGTCTCATATACGCTTTTGGTTCACCTTAGTCTGCTCTTTTAACTTTAAAATATCCTGATATCTTTTTCCCTTCTCTTACTCCATGCAAGTAGGATGGTGATCCCTCCGGTTGTGGTTACCATCCTTGCGGAGTGTTAAGCTTGATCTCTTACACCACAGGCCGAGAGTGATTGGGTGCTGATCCGCCTGTAACTCGAGGTCATACATCTATTCATCTTCCGACATCCACAATCAGTCATCTTAACCCTCTAAATTCTGAACATGCACTGTCGAAGCCTTCTGGTAACTGCATACTGTCTCTTCATCTATATACCTTGACAATTAGGTCTACACCCTGAAAAGGTAGAGATCCGTAGATCTAACATTTTAAGATTTGACTGATGTATTCATTCTGCCAAGACTAAACCGGCTACCAAGAGCCATTACAATAACAGTTATTTTTGAGCTTTGATCAGTATATTATCACCATTAAAATTTATTATAAAAAGCATTTACCAATGTTTATAAATATTCCAATTTAAAATTTGAGTATTTAATAATACAGCAATAAGAAATAAAAGATACAATTTTGAGTATGTTGCACGGGTGAGCTTGTAGAGTGCTGCCTGTTAGCGGAAAGGCGAACTTGTTGTTCCTTGTAGCAAGAGCGGAAATCTGTTTCCGCTACAAAGGAATCGAGGCGGTTATAAGAGAGAGATTTACCTGGAGGGTAGTATACAGATTTTCCAGAGTCCTGATGTTCGATGGCTGTTCAAGTAGAAGGCTGTTGATGTTAAGTAGTTTTGGATAATTCGGGAATTGTGATGGGTTTTCAATAATAGGTGGCTAGGTAGAACTTTTCTGATCCAGGTTATGGCTTTTTAAGGCAATATTCTGTGTTCTAAGTTTAACACGATGTTTGTAAACTTTGCATCCTCTGTAGCTTGCAGGATGTTGGTCGCCTCAAAGAGCACGTTTTGCAGGCTGATCATGAGGTTGTTGGCAAGTGTCAGAAGTGTGTGAATCAGTACATCTGATGCTCCTGGCCTGATAATGGCCGTAGGTCTTTTTATGTCCTAAGTCTTGACACTTTGTGCATTGCACTATCACAGGTTTTTGTCTGGCTCCTCAAATTTCATAGTTGAATGAATATACAAGCCTTTTCACTTGAAATATTTCAATGAAACAACATTGAAACCATTGAACATAACAGCATTGAAACACTGAAAATACATGTAACAACACTGGCAGACTCTAAATCAATAATAAATAACGGCACTGAATATTTTTCGTTGGATGTAGTACGCAGGATATGTGCCTGACCTTGTGACCAATTTCTTCCAGGTCTGTTTTGACTACAGAGATAGGGGTGGTTGAGTGTAAACCACTCGATATGCCTTTGCGTGTCTTAACTGGTAACAGTGAAAATCGTAATTATTAGTAGTGAAGTGGTTTACAAGTATTTTATAATTTTTCTTTGGAATTTGTATTGATCTTGATGTCGTTGACTTTTGTAAAACATTGAAAATTGGTTTGTCCTATCAGATTAGCAACTTCTTTGTATTGATCTTGATGTCGTTGACTTTTGAAAAACATCGAAAATTTGTTTGTCGTATCAGATTAGCAACTTCTTAAACAAATGAAAAGAAATTATCAATTTCAGAAAAAAAAATTGGTGGCAGAAAATCTTGAGGCTCAGGAGACTTTTTTGTAGGGTTATTAGCAGGGACAGAATTATTGCTAGTTGTGATAGTTTGTGGAGTTGGTTCTGATTTTGTAACATTCGATTTACTTCTGGTTGGAGGTGATAACTTATTTTATTCAGCTGACTGTTTTGACTTAGTCGATTTATTTTGTTCAGTTGACTTTTTTGGTTTAGTCGATTTTTTTATGATGTGAGTTGCCCCCCAACCCAGGGGCAGAGTTTCTGTGACATTTTTGCATTGTACACCTTATTACTTTCACTTACCTATATATGCAATATATAGTTAGTAAGGGTAAGTATTGCAAAGATGTTGTGGGAGGCTATTTGACGAATTCAGTTACACATCTACATCTGATGCTCCTGGCCTGATAATGGCCGTAGGTCTTTTTATGTCCTAAGTCTTGACACTTTGTGCATTGCACTATCACAGGTTTTTGTCTGGCTCCTCAAATTTCATAGTTGAATGAATATACAAGCCTTTTCACTTGAAATATTTCAATGAAACAACATTGAAACCATTGAACATAACAGCATTGAAACACTGAAAATACATGTAACAACACTGGCAGACTCTAAATCAATAATAAATAACGGCACTGAATATTTTTCGTTGGATGTAGTACGCAGGATATGTGCCTGACCTTGTGACCAATTTCTTCCAGGTCTGTTTTGACTACAGAGATAGGGGTGGTTGAGTGTAAACCACTCGATATGCCTTTGCGTGTCTTAACTGGTAACAGTGAAAATCGTAATTATTAGTAGTGAAGTGGTTTACAAGTATTTTATAATTTTTCTTTGGAATTTGTATTGATCTTGATGTCGTTGACTTTTGTAAAACATTGAAAATTGGTTTGTCCTATCAGATTAGCAACTTCTTTGTATTGATCTTGATGTCGTTGACTTTTGAAAAACATCGAAAATTTGTTTGTCGTATCAGATTAGCAACTTCTTAAACAAATGAAAAGAAATTATCAATTTCAGAAAAAAAAATTGGTGGCAGAAAATCTTGAGGCTCAGGAGACTTTTTTGTAGGGTTATTAGCAGGGACAGAATTATTGCTAGTTGTGATAGTTTGTGGAGTTGGTTCTGATTTTGTAACATTCGATTTACTTCTGGTTGGAGGTGATAACTTATTTTATTCAGCTGACTGTTTTGACTTAGTCGATTTATTTTGTTCAGTTGACTTTTTTGGTTTAGTCGATTTTTTTATGATGTGAGTTGCCCCCCAACCCAGGGGCAGAGTTTCTGTGACATTTTTGCATTGTACACCTTATTACTTTCACTTACCTATATATGCAATATATAGTTAGTAAGGGTAAGTATTGCAAAGATGTTGTGGGAGGCTATTTGACGAATTCAGTTCCGAGACTGTAAAATGCTGGTAAGCCTGTCAATTACTGATATTCTCACCCTATGTTTAAACAGAAATAACTTAAAAATAGAATTATTCATTCAGAGTATATTTTAAAACTTTCCACTCTTCTTCTTTGATCACTATTATAATGATTTTCATTTAGATTTTACAGGTGGTGCTATACCCAACATGACTGCTGCTCCTCAAGCTGACTACAGCCAACAATGGATAGAATATTATAGGAGCCTTGGCTTGCATAACGAAGCAGATGCCATAGAGCAGCAAATCAAAGCAAAGGTTTTTATTTTGTACCTATTTTTAATTTAATTGTTCTGATATTTTTATGTTAAGAATTAAAAAATTATGTTATGGAAAAAAATTAAATCTATATTTTAGTATTTATTAAAAACTAACACTCTTATATTTTGAGTCAAATTGTTACACTGTTAGCTGTTATTTTCTTATTGATAATATTTTAATAAGGTTTAGATGTAAATAAATATCTTGAATTCAATGATATCTTAATAACACAATTTATCCAAAATAGATCTATTTTTCATTGTATCTAGCCCTTATTCAGGGAATGGGCTGGCTTTTGGAGTGTTTAACTCACAAATTTATTTGGTGCCACCTTAGGCTAGGAGCCAATGACGTATTTATTCAAAAGATGAGCATTAAGTTAATGATACTCTTAAAAGATAGTTCTTTAGAGTAGAACTTGAATTGCTCAGACTTGCAGTCCAAAGTGGATGCAATTTGAACTAAAATATGTAATTTTTCGATGTTCCTTTCAATAGTAAGGCAAACACCTGAAAATTTGACAAACGTTATATTACACCCAATCATGTTATGTGCCGTAACTGAAATCGACATAATCAACATTTTTGAATTCCATTCAACTAACCTGTGAACGTCTAGAATTTCTTCTAAAATATCTATCATGGCAAAGTGGTTGAAAATCAATTGCATGTGATAACCTTTTTCCATAAATTGATAAGGAGAAAAAAAAACATTAGTGAACCAGTTTGACTGTTTAAAACATTTTGACCCTTGAAACACTTTAACTATTAAAAACATTTTAACCCACATGTTTAGGTCGAAACTTCGGCTAACCCAATAAATATTATTGTGACTGAAATTCCTGACAATTTTGATTCATTCTCATAATTGATCAGTACCATTTACCCTTCTCTAAAATTGTAGTTTTAAATGTTTCTATATTGTTTAATTTGATTCAACTATGTTTCAAATACAGTTAAATGGATTCAACCAATATTTTTCTTTTTTTATGTCAGTTTTGTATGCGTAACAATGCACCTTCCTCAAAGGGTTGTCTTACACGAATTAGCTATTAGCCACCAGCCTTTTACTATTTGTTACTAAAAAATTGCATTATGACTTTTGTGAAATTTTCAGTTGTTTACCTTTTTGTTGAATGAAACCTCAAAATCTGACCTATTCGAGTCAAAATTTCATCCAAATATATACACTGGGTATTAATGCCGCATACGCTCATATCTTTATTTATGTTTCTCACCATTCACCCCTTTTTAAATATTTATAATGAAATGTTCAATTATTTTATTTTGGTAAAAAACTGATATATTTGGCTTCGTTTGCAATGTATTATCGCATTTGTATATGCATCAGCCCAGCAGTAATACCCAGTCTTGGGGATTAAAACATCAAAATAATAAAACTGGCAGAAGGTCAGTCTGGAGCGAGCTGCCGTTTGTGTTGGATCCACGTATTGGACATTTACCCCTACCATTTCACAAGCTCCAGGCTCACCTGCGCCAGCCTAGCGCCATCTTCTGACAACAGCTGTGCATCGGCAGTCATCGATCGAGATAGCTCCCTAAATAGTTACAGAGTTCTCTGGTATTTAAAAAAAAAATTCTATTGTTTAAACAACCAGAAATACCACGCAAAGTGCCTAAATACCACGAAAAACTGAAATCCAGTTTTGTGCAGCTTAGGAGTCTTATAACTCCTTTAATATTAATTTTAGAGCTAAACATCATAAGGATAATTTAAATGCTCCTTGGGGGGCTATTAAAACTCTTAAAAAAAAATAAAAAAAATGCCACCCCAAAGTGATAATTTATGAATTATTTTTGCAGTTCTAATAGCCCCCCAAATAGTTCCAGAGTTCTCTGGTATTTAAAAAAAAAAAATTCTGTTGTTTAAACTACCAAAAATACCACGCAAAGTTAATTAATTTTAGAACTAAACATCATAAGGATAATTGTAAATGCTCCTTGGGAGGCTATTAATAAAAAAAAAATCCAAAAAATGCCGCCCCAAAGTGAAAATTTGTGAATTATTTTTGCAGTTCTAATAGCCCCCCAAATAGTTCCAGAGTTCTCTGGTATTTAAAAAAAAATACTATTGTTTAAACTACCAAAAATACCACGCAAAGTTACGAAAAACTGAAATTCCGTTTTTTGCAACTTACGAGTCTTATAACTATAATTATTAATTTTAGAACTAAAGTTCGTTGACATAATTATTAAAACTCCTTGGGAGGCTATCAAAACCCTAAAAAAAAAAAAAACAACGAATTACACCTCCAAAAGCCCCCCAAAAAAGTGACCACCCCAAAGTAAAATTTTCTTAATTGTTTTAATTTTTTTAGCCTCTCTAATAGTTCTAGAGTTCTCTAATATTTTAAAAAATCACTCTATTGTTTAAACTAACTAAAATACCACGCAAAGTTACGAAAAAACAAAATTCCGTTATGTGCAACTTATGAGTATTATAACTCTTTTAATAATTAATTCAGAGCTAAAGTTCATAAGGATAATTGTAAAAACTCCTTGGGGGGCTATTAATGCTCTAAAAAAAATCAAAAAAATGCCCCCCCTCCAAGTGAAAATTTGTGAATTATTTTTAGAGTTCTAATAGCCCTCCCTCCCAAATAGTTGTAGAGTTCTCCGGTATTTAAAAAAAAATTCTATTGTTTAAACTACCAAAAGTATCACGCAAAGTTACGAAAAACTGAAATCCCATTTTTTGCAACTTACGAGTTCTCTAATATTTTAAAAAATCACTCTATTGTTTAAACCAACTACAATACCACACAAAGATATGAAAAAATAAAATTCCGTTTTGTGCAACTTACGAGTCTTATAACTCTTTTAATAATAATTTTAGAGCTAAAGTTCATTAGACTAATTGTTAAGATTCTTTGGGGGGTTCTCAAAACTGTAATAAAAAAGAAAGATAGATTTTTCCAAAGGCCCCTCCCCAAAAACTGCCCCCCTCCCCCCAAAGTAAAATTTTCTTAATTGTTTTAATTTTTTATAGCCTCCCTAATAGTTCTAGAGTTCTCTAATATTTAAAAAAATCACTCTATTGTTTAACTAACTGAAATACCACGCAAAGTTAAGAAAAAACAAAATTCCGTTATGTGCCACTTACGAGTCTTATAACTCTTTTAATAATAATTTTAGAGCTTAAGTTCATTAGAGTAATTGTTAAGATTCTTTGTGGAGCTCTCAAAACTGTAATAAAAAAGAAAGATTGATTTCTAATAAGGCCCCTCCCCAAAAACTGGCCCCCCCAAAGTAAGATTTTCTTAATTATTTTAATTTTTTATAGCCCCCCTAATAGATCTAGAGTTCTCTAATATTTAAAAAATAATTCTATTGTTTTTACCAACAATAGTTCTATTGTTTAAACCACTGAAAATACCACTCAAAGTATCAAAAATATTGTTTTGCGAATTGCGAGGCTTATATATTTTTTTTTGTGTCAACTTTAGGGCAAAGGTTCATCAGGACGTTTACTTTAAGTCCGAAGGGTGAAAATTTATCTCTATAAAATTTATCTAGGATGGGAAACGAAAAAGTTTTCGAGCATCAGAGTATCGAAAATATTTTTTTGCAACTTGCGCGGCTTATATCTTTTTTGGGTCAACTTTAGGGCAAAGGTTCATTGTATTAATTTTTATAACTCGTATGGGGGTAATAAACTTTTGCCCTGAAGTTGACCTAAAAAAAATATAAGCCTCGCAAGTTTCAAAAAAGTATTTTTGATTATTTGATGCTCAAAAATTTTTTGTTTCGCATCCTGGATTAAAACACACCAGTAATTATAGGTTGTGCTCGCTCAGAAGCTATTAAAGCACCAATCAGAATAATTTTTTTGCCGAGATAAATTTTCACACTGCAGACTTTGTATATGTTCCATCAAAATGTTGGTCGAAATTCTTTTTTTTTTTATTTTAGGAGTTCTGTTGAGTTTTCCTATGGCCGGCCCCCCTACGGGTTATAAAAATTAATATAATGAACCTTTGCCCTAAAGTTGACCTAAAAGAAGATGTAAGCCTTGCAAGTTACAAGTTATTAGAGAACTCTAGATCTATTAGGGGGGCCATCAAAACGCCAAAAACAATTTAAAAAATTTTACTTTAAGGGGCCAGTTTTTAGGGAGAGGGCTTTGGAGAAATCAATCTTTTTTTTTTATTACAGTTTTGAGAGCCCCCAAGGAATCTTAACAATTACTGTAATGAACTTTAGCTCTAAAATTATTATTAAAGGAGTTATAAGACTTGTAAGTTGCACAAAACGGAATTTAATTTTGTCGTATTTTAGTTGGTTTAAACAATGGAGTGATTTTTTAAAATATTAGAGAACTCGTAAGTTGCAAAAAACGGAATTTCAGTTTTTCGTAACTTTGCGTGGTATTTTTGGTAGTTTAAACAATAGTATTTTTTTTTAAATACCAGAGAACTCTGGAACTATTTGGGGGGCTATTAGAACTGCAAAAATAATTCACAAATTTTCACTTTGGGGCGGCATTTTTTGGATTTTTTTTTTATTAATAGCCTCCCAAGGAGCATTTACAATTATCCTTATGATGTTTAGTTCTAAAATTAATTAACTTTGCGTGGTATTTTTGGTAGTTTAAACAACAGAATTTTTTTTTTTTTAAATACCAGAGAACTCTGGAACTATTTGGGGGGGTTATTAGAACTGCAAAAATAATTCACAAATTATCACTTTGGGGGGGGGTGGCATTTTTTTTATTTTTTTTTTAGAGTTTTAATAGCCCCCCAAGGAGCATTTACAATTATTCTTATGATGTTAAGCTCTAAAATTAATATTAAAGGAGTTATATGACTTGTAAGTTGCACAAAACCGGATTTCAGTTTTTCGTGGTATTTTGGCACTTTGCATGGTATTTCTGGTTGTTTAAACAATAGAATTTTTTTTTTAAATACCAGAGAACTCTGTAACTATTTGGGGGCTATTAAAACCCAAAAAATAATTCACAAATTTTCACTTTGGGGCGGGGCTATATTTAATTTTTTTTTTAGAGTTTGATAGCCCCCAAGGAATTTTTACAATTATTCCTTTGAAGTTTAGCTCTAAAATTAATATTAAAAGAGTTATAAGATTCGTAAGTTGCACAAAACGGGATTTCCGTTTTTTACAACTTTGTGTATTATTTTCGGTGGTTTAAACAATAGAATGATTTCTAAAAAGTATAGAGAACTCTGGAATTCTTAGGAGAGCTATAAGAACTATCAACATTTTTTTTTAAAATTGAGGATGGGGGCAAACTTCACAGAGGTTATTTCATTGTACTTGTGTGGAAGAAGAAGTAAAATATAAAATCATTACATGGATGTATAAAGCGTATTTTCATTACCTTAATTACATTTACTGTAGTTTAGTGATTGTAAATCTGATATTATATTTAAATAATTAGGTATCAACGTTTATTCAGAAAAATTGTCATGTAACTTTTTAGAAAATTAAATTAATGAATAATTTGATGAATTTTCTCTTTATAAAATCCAAACATTATCATATCTTCCTCTAAAGTACCTTTAATTTGGTTTATTATAAATAATAACTATTTATCATTGTTAGGAGATGGAAAAATGGTAAATATAACTTTTGGAAGAATTTGATTTTTAACACATTAAAGGCGGGAGTCATAGTACTACGATTTATCTTGACTGCTGCTTAAAGGTGGGAGTCTTAGTACTGCGATTTATCTTAACTGCTGCTTAAAGGCGGGAGTTGTAGTAATATGATTTATCTCCACTGTAGCTTAAAGGCGGGAGCCGTATTAGTACGGTTTGCAGGTTTGCAACCACATTGCGCAATCCATGCGCCACTTAACATTTGTATTTAGTATGTTTTGTGGTTTCACGCGAGAATAAAGATATATATACAGGCGATTTCTCTGATGTTGATTACGATGAAAGAGAGTTAGATAATGATAGTGATAGCTCTATACGACATATGAGAATGACCCGAGTTTTTCCACTAACGATTAGCGATGATGAAAGTGAAAATGATGATGAAGAAGAAATTATACTTCAATGGACTTAAGTAGACGTTCCACCTAGCATAGAACCATTTTTGGATCAAATGGGGTTAAATATTTTACCACAGAACGGCGTTGAAGGATCTCTGGATGTGTTCCTTGATGATAATTTTTACAAAATGACGGTAACAGAAACCAACTGATATCCCCATCAAAACATCTAAAATACGTTTAAAAAAAAGAAGAAAACTATAATATGGACGCATCTCACTATTGGCGAATTCAAGAAATTTTTAGGATTATTAATTCTAATGGGCCAAATTCCAAAAAGTATTATCGATGAATATTGGACAACAGATCCATTATTTGAAACACCAATATTTTTAAAGACAATGAGTCGTAATAGATTTAAAGAGATATGGAGATGGTGCCACTTTGTGAACAACGATGAAATGAATGAATCGAGCGACCGTCTATTTAAAATTCTACCAGTTTATGACAGTTTAATTGAAAATTTCAATACTGTATATACACCGAGAAGAGATTTCACTGGACGAAAGCATCATCATTCCATGGCGTGGAAGATTGGGATTTAAAGTTTACAATGCCTCGAAAATTATTAAATATGGAATCTTGGTGAGAGTTGTGGCTGAATCAAAAAGTGGCTAAATTTGTAATATGAGAATGTATTGTGGAGAATGAAGGAAACTGGTGGAAATAATATTAGATATTCTTGCTCCTTATAAAGACAAATATTATCATGTGTTTATGGATAATTATTATAACAGGGTAGATAGATATAAACAGAACTCTTTTAAAACACAAAATGCGAAATTGTGGAACAATACGTGTAAACCGAGGACTTCCACATGAATTAAAAAATAAAAAGCTACAATGCGGGCAGTCAATTTTCCGGAGAAAAGGAGACATTTTATTACAAATAGAGCAGTCAAAGAGAGAAGTGAGGATGATTTCGAATATTCATTCGGGTGAACTATTAGAAAGCTCCAGTACAGATTGGCACACAAATACTAAAATAATGAAACCAAAATGCGCAATAGAATACAAGTATATAAAAGGTGTTGATAGGGCAGACCAGTACCTTTCGTATTATTCAATAGTGCGAAAAACCAGAAAGTGGACCAAGCGGACTATAATGTATTTGTTAAATTGTACATTTTTCAATTCCTATTTAGTATATGACATGCATAATAATAGTAGATCTGAAGATCTGGAATTGATGGACATTGAAGAGCCACAACCTGGTACACCGAACTCGGCAGCACAGACTCCACGATATAAAATTGATCCGCCTGGACGTCTTTCGCTTGACATCAAAAAGTACAAATTAATTCGGATAGAAAATAAAGGCAAGAAGCTATATACCCAACAAAACTGCGTAGTTTGTGTGGCACATAAAAAAAGAAAGTTAACTTCCTTCAAATGCGAGTTTTGCAATTCACCTCTTCACCTTGGCGAGTGTTATCAGTATTATCACACTCTTAAAAAATACTAGATTCTTCGCATAAATATATATTTTAAAAATATTTTTTGTAATTAGTGTTAAGTTCTTTTTTAATATTTCTTGTAGTTTTAAGAGTTCATATAAACTTTTTTAAGTCTACATTTTTTTATGATTACACAAAATATCGCCCACTTTAGGACAAAGAACAAGGGGGGCAGTAGCCACGTTACCTAACATACTTTCATCAAGATCCCCCGTCTTTAATGTGTTGAATAAAGGAGAAAAAAAATAAAAATACTTATTCAGGTCAAAAATAAATCTCCGGAAATACTAGTCAGAAGGTATAGGTATAATATAGAATTTTAGAAAAAACAATATCTAATATAGAAAGTTGTAGAAGGTAACGAAGAGTGGCAAAAAAAAAAAAGAAAATAATAATAATAACACGTTTACAAGGAAATTAAATGAAATTTTCTTATTAAACGTAAACTTTAAAAAAAAATTTAAGTTTGAAAAATTATTTAAAACCCACGGATTCAAGGCAATTAGATTGTTTAAGATATTATTTTACTTGTGTGAAAGAAGAAGTGAAATTTAAAAATATTTCATGGATACGATTATAACCTTAAATATATTTACTGTAGTTTAATAACTCTGGATCTGACATATTTAAATAATTAGGTATCTATCGTCCGTTTATTCCAAAAAATCATTTTATAACCTTTTAGGAAATTGAATTAGTGAATAATTTGATAAATTTCCCCTTTGCGATATTCCAACAGAATCCACTTACAATTAGTGTGACAACTTTTGACCTATCTATGACAGACAATGCAAATCTCTTAATTCAGTTTTAATAAACTTTGCAATGGCAAATGACAGTTTAATAACTAATAGTCGTACAATCCATAATCAACCAGTAATATAATAAATATGACTTTTGTTATTTTAATAGTATTTATGATTTGTTAGCTGCAATACTTCAGCTTTAGCTCAGTTAAAAATGCAAAATTTTATAATAGCCAAACATGGCCAGAAAATAATTTCTATTCAAAGTTGAGCGGTGAGTGAAAGTTGTGTGTTGCGCGCACCAGATTTTTATTTTTGGAGTGGCTTCTGCTGGAGAATATTCCTGTTACTGATATTTTTTTTTAAATTACTGACGTTTTATATTTTATCGTGCTATTTAATCAACCTAACTAGAAACACAATTCAACAGTAATGCTATGATTTTAAGTCAAAAGTACTGCCATAATTTTTACAGATTGCCTGGCAGTTAAATTATTTAGATATTCAAACATTTCATTGTTCTAATGGTTGTTTAATTTTGTTAGTAATTAAACTAAGGCATTAAATTACTAAGTTCTGTCTAAAATATTACTTATTGATTTAGCAGGCTGCTCAGGCAGCTGCTGCTGCACAACAGTCACAGCCTACTCCTCAACCTCAGCAAAATGGAGCAGCACCTGACTACAGTGCTCAATGGGCTCAGTATTATAGGAGCTTAGGAAAAATTAAGGAGGCTGAATCAATAGAACACCAGATGAAGGCAAAAGTAAGAATTTCATTTTATAATTAGTCATATAAATGTAATGCAAGGTTTTGATTAATTTCTGAAGACCTTTAAATACAGATTATACCATTAGCAAATTTTTTTTAGTCCTGAAACATTTGATCTCCTATTGTTTCATACCTAGCCCGCTGGCTAAACCTGTCCTGTAATCACATCCAATCTGGCCAATCATGGTAATTTTGATTACATTCTAAAATTTAGAATATCATCATCATCATAATCCATCCTCTTGAACCACATTAAGCAGTGTGAGGAGGAAGTTTATAGAGCCTTCTCCAGCTCTGCCGGTCTTCCACAAGACGCCTTCTATCTTTCCATTGAAGTGCTCTTCTCTAGAAGTCACTCTTCACCTCATCTTCCCATTTTCTTCTAGGCCATCCTCTTCCTCTCATGCCCTCTACTTTAGCTCGATAGGCTTCCCTAGATATCCTGTTATGTTCCATTCTCAGAAGATGTCCTAACCATCTCAGTCGATTCTCTTCTATCATATCATTGGCCAGCTTAATATTGAGGTTCGACCTGATGGTGGTGTTGCATTCTCTCTTCTTGTTTTCCCCTCAATCTTTCGGAGGAATTCATTTCTGATGCTTCTATCCTTGATTGATGTTTCTTTGTCAGTATCCATGATTCTGAAGAGTACGTTAAAATGGGAAGAAATGTCGATCTGAAAACAGCAGCCTTTGTTTTCTTTTCCACCTCTCGCCTGTTTAGAAAACCTCTCTTAACTACTTCAAACATCCTGCTCGCAGCAGCAATTCACTCAGTCACTTCTGAATCGATCCATTCTCATTAAGGTGTGCACCCAGGTATTTAAACTTCTCTACTTGTTCGACGATTTTGCCCTTGACTGATGATGCCCATATTTCTCCTAGGCTTCTTTCCAACCATTATACACGGTGGGCCAGACCCCCTTACCGTGCACCTCCCCCTCCCACATCCCTATAAATTGCATATCGTTGTGTTCCTTGTAACAATTTATTAAAAAAAAGCCAATGTTCCCACAAAAAAAAGTGAACGCACTGCCCCAAAATGGCGTCCAAAGATGGCGGATTGACGACTTTGACTTTAGTTAGTTTTTTGGTCACTGAGAATCAGCATTTGGCTTAATTTCCTCATAGTTGGTCTTTTATTAAAGCTGAATAGTCATAGAATAATAAAACATGAAGAAATATAAAAAAATAATTGGCAATAAAAATCGTTTGCAAATGCATTAAACATACTAAACTTTCTCGATATACCTCTCTATATCCTGCTTCAAAGTGTAGATAGTCCCAGTGTGCACCTTCAGTAGCAATCGAAAATAAAGTGGTTTTCACCATAATAAACCTACATCGTCCACTTAATATCATCCAAACTGCAATTGACCCCCTTTTAGCAGCATCTTGAAATATTCTGTTCATCTGTCTACTATAGATTCATTTAGCTATATAATAGATACTGGTCCTTTTTATCTTTTCCGAGGTTTTGGCACTTCCTTTCTTGTTCGCTTAATGTATTTTTCCAATTTTCTGGTTCAATTTCGCGTTTTTCCTCATTTTGAGACCAAAAACAAACAATCAGTTCTGGTTTATAGAAGAACTTATAGCGTCACCCTTTCTATCTTTCTTTGTGCAGAGAGAATAATTCATTCAATATTAAAATTTCCTATTTATTTATGATATAGTCCAACTTCCACACAAAATAAAGGAAATAAAAATTAATTTTTTAATTAGTGATATATGAGTTTTACTAAACAACCCGGTAGCTATTCATTATATATAGTTCAGATTAGGTATATATTATTTTAGTTTATAAAACAGGTATTAATATGACTCATTTCCTGGGAAGTATATAAAAATTTTAATTACCTCTAAGATTCAGTAAATATACAAAACACAGTGTTAAATTGCAAATGTTAAATAATAAAAAAAATCAAGATATTTAGCAAAGTATTTTTTAATTAAGTTTTATTATTATAATTATATCATTTTTACAATTGAGGTCTTCTTAAATGGCCTACGTATAGAATAAAGGAGGTTAAATTTTTTACAGTTAAATTATTGTAAGTGTATTTTCTACGGAACTGCTTCAAATATTTTGAAAAGTAATCAGCGTTTTAGAAAGAGAAATACTAAATTGGGCTACTTCCCAATTTTTCGGTATTTTCTTTTGCTTCCACACTAAGTTTAACAGATGCAGCAGGATTTCTTTTCCTTTTAGCCCTATATATTTCAGCATTTCAGAAGTTCCACCATCACTACCTGCGGATTTCTCTAGCTTCATACTCCAGATTGCTTCTTCCAGTTCTTCATCGCCAATAAAGTCGTCTTCTTCCCAAGTACCTACCTCTTTTGTCTCTTCATCTACACAGCCTGTCTGTCAATTTTCATTTAACAATTCTTGGTAGTATTCCCTCCACCTTTCCATTATCTCATCCTTCTGCCTGAGAATGTTTCCTTCCTTGTCTTTGACGAATTTCAGGGTTGACGTTCTTTCCTTTCTTAATCCGTTGAGGACTCAGTAGAATAGCTTTTGATTTTGGTAGAAATCCAATTCCAATTTTCACTGAAAATCTGCCCAAGTTGTCCTCGTGGCCTCTATAACTTTATTTTTAGCCTCAATCCTTTTCCGTTTGTGCTTTTCGAAGTTTGTGCTCTAGGTATTCTTTCCAACGTTTTTTTCCCTCCTATTATCTTTTTAACCTCATCTGACTACCATGCTGTTCTCTTGTATCAGCCTCCAATTCTTTCTTTACTGCTGCGTCCATTACTATTTTCTTAAAATAGAACCAGCTTGTTTATATATCATCTTTTTTTTTTTTTTTTTTTTTTTTTTTTTCCTTCCCTACCTCCCCTTTTAGGCTATACGGGATTTTCCCGTGCCAGGGGGTGAGGGCGGGGAATTTAAAATCCCCTCCGGCACCGGGACGCGAACTCGTACTTTTTATATCATCTCAAATCTCTGTTATCCGGTTGCCAGGCAAACTAGCGGTGCTGTTACGTACGCTTTAGCCTATTCGGCCACCCCGCCCCCTGTTTATATATCATCTGAATCCCATGGATAATCCAAATCTCTGGCCATTCTCTCAATTTCTTCCTGGTAGTAGCTAGCTATTTCATCTTCTCTTAGCCTAGCGCATGTCTTAACCACTTCTATTTGGGTCCTTCTTGCATGTTTTCTGATTCTTCTCTCTCCTTTCCATACCAGATCCATTTTTAACAAGTCCTATTCCAACATGCTTTCATCATTGCTGTCTTGCCTGTTTTTCAGCTATAAATTTCAATTTAAAAAAAGTTAAAGAAATGGTTTCTTACTTATATGTGTATGATAAATTATCTGGTTATAGTTAATTTGGTTAGAGAATTGATGAATTTATATCTAATTTAGTGTGATGTTTAGCAACAGGCACAGCAAGGGGGAACCCCATCAACCGGAGCTCCACAGCCCACACCTCAAGCAGCAGCACCAGCAGCAGGGCAGACACCCCAATTTCCTAATTATTACCCAGGAGGAGGTTTCTATCCTGGCTACCAATATCCAGCAGGTCCTTATCCAGGCTATACTCCTACACCACAGGGTCCAGCACCCGGAGAAGCTCAACCTCAGCCTACAGCACAGCAGTGAAGCATTCTTTCTTATGGTGAGCAAAATAATGCTGTATTGACTTTTTCTGATTATTTAGCTTGATACTATCTTTAGTTATTATATTAGGCAAAGGAAAATAAGCTGGTGTACAATGGGGGTAGTGAATCTTTTCTGTTATCGGTTTTTAATTTGGGCAATAACTTCCATCTGACTCCAGTAACTGTTCTGATTCAGTTAATTAGTCTGTTTGTAACTGAATTATGTGAACACTCATGATTTGAGATTGATATAACTAGCAATTGTTCTAATTATTCCTAACCTTACCTACTCTTTTTTTGTTCTTGTTGGAAGGGCTATTTTATGTCTATAACTTATAAATTGTTACATGAATTGAAATAGTTGTCAGGTTTATAATTAATGTTGGTGGTAAGTCAAGAAACATAATTTTTAATATTTTCATTTACAAATTTGTTAATATTGTACATTAGTTTGAGAAATAACTATTTCCCCCTCCCCCGAGGGATCCTGAACTTTTTAAAATGTATAAGATGTGTCAAAAGTTATTTCTTCAGTTACTTCTTATATTTTAAAATCTCTTATTAGTATCTAATTATCTTTTTTGTATGTTTGTATACCATTATTTGGTCTGGTTGCTGTTGTTTTTTGTATGTTTATTGTGATATTAAGAATTGTCGTATGTAATAATAATCATTAACCATGATGATTTATTATATATAACCTAAACTCTTGTATGGGTAGGTTACTTATGATTGGTGAAGAAAAAAAAATCTTTCCAGAATGATCATTTATGTAAAATTTAATTCTTTTACATTCAAGACATCACTACTCATTAATAATTTGTAGAAACCCTTTTAAACAATTAGTGAGGGGTTAACACTAAGAGATGTTGGTCATTGGTAAGACAAAAATTGAAGAACAAGATCTTGGTATTAATTAGTTTGGAGATAACCTGCTAATTGCTAGGAAGACACTTAAGCTTTGAAAGAAACTGGTGTTGCTTTGATAAAAAGACAAATGAGTGAGGTTTTCTTTCTCTTGGAGAATTCATGATTCACATTCATATTAATACCCATGAAGAGCTTTATTACTGTCTCTAAATTATTTCTACATCTGTTTATTACAGTGCCTTGTGTTAAAAAAAAAAAAAAAAATAATCTAAAATTAATTGTTTAAATGGTATATTATTAAAATATATGTATGTATATTTTATTTTGTTTTTCTATAATCAATAATTAGAAAAATACCAGTATTTGGTAATGATAAATTAATCATTTATTTATATTTTTGCAATTATAGTATTAACATTGATTCACGTTAAACTGCTAGTTGAAGTTCCCTTGTCGACTGAAGCATAAGAGCAGAAGGTTAATAGAAAATCACGCTATAATGAAAACCCTGTCCTGCAGCATTAATATTCTTCAAGTGATAATTAATCATTTCTTCGAACATATTTATATATTTGAATGTTAAATCAGAATCTTCATAGGATGTTACTATTTGCTAATTATCTTACATAGTCTGTTTTTGCTTGTCCTTAAAGAATTGGATAGTAATGTAAGCTTAAGGTTTTTTTTTTTAATCTTTGTAACTTTTTTTGTTTTTATTTTTGTAAGTTATCATTATTAATAGATAAAATAAAACTGTGCCAAATGCAGTTATTTCCGGTCTCCTATTTCTTAACATATTGTGTATCAGTCCTCAATATTCCTTTTCTATCCTGAGAAATCATATTTATACCTATTACTGAAATGTTGCTGTTCTTTTTGTTGATAAGCTCACTTAAAAGCTGAGTTTATATTTCATATGTTTATTATATATGAATAATAAAACAATTCAGTGATAGACTAAAATTTAAAATTGTTATCATTATTATTATGTTCAAACAGTAGTAAGTAAATAGGTTATTTAAAAGGTTTTGTTTGTAGGACTTGTAATTATTGTTATTTTAATCAATGCTACAGATGCAATAATTTCATTATATGTTATTTAACATTTCACAGCAGATCATGATTTAATTCATGTTTCAATAATTAAAAATTAAGTAATTAAGATTCAGTACCCCCACGGTCTTCAGCTTTCATGAAAAATGCATGTTTTTAAGTAAAAAGAAACAAAACACGCTAACATTAATTTTGTGTCATAGTATGTCATATCCTTTGCATCTTGATATGTGTTCACAGGTTAGGAAAAAAGGCATTCAACAGGCTGCAATTTTATATATAATTAAAAGCCTAAACAAAAATAAACCAAGTAAGGAAGGGACTGGAGAATGTGAACATGAATTATGAAATTATGCAAAGTTTTATTTTTCGATATTTTTTTTTATTTAAAAATGTTTTTCTTTTTCTTTTTAGATATACTGTGTCATGCTGAAATTTCTTAACATATGTGCTATTACTTAGAATCAATATACTTTTAGTTTTATCTTATCATTATTTTTTAATGTTATTTTTTAATTAATGTGTGTTAAGGTGCACCAGATCGCCTTTGGCACCCAAAAGTTACTTTATATTAATATTGCTTATTTACTTTAATTCATTGATAAATTTAAAATTTTTAGTATTGGATTTATATATATATATATATATATATATATATATATATATATATATATATATAGTAACATATATATTATACTTGTATTTCATTATTTCATTATGTGACATATTTGCCACAATAGTGTTTGTCATAAAAGACATTCTGACTTGGAGGGAAATAGGTTTTCCTTCCTGTGTCCTCCTCAAGTCTTAGCATGGTAGATAATTTTGTTTGTTCCATTTACATTATCATTTATAAATGTAGATTTTGAAGCTAAAAGTTAATTAAAAACTGTTTCTTTATAAATTTCATTTGTATATAATTATTTTGTTCCTTATTTTATGTAAGAGTAGAAAAATACTGTCATAGGGATTAACAACTATGGTGAAGAGAACTTTTATGTCATGAGACTGAATTCATGAACTGTATAAGGATTTTTGTAGAAATCTTAAGGTTAAAAATAGAAAGAAAAAAGTTAATTGATATTAGAAAAAGGAAAAAAAAAATCTTTTCCCTTAAACCTCCATATGTAAGAAATATGATGTGTGTATATATATGTTGTTTTTTATTTTTCATTTTCATTACATACTTCCTAACTCGAGATGTTGTATAGTAACTATGAATTAGTTTAAATATTATACCAGTTTAAAAAAAAAATCTGAGGATTCCCATGATGAACTGCATGTGTTATCCTTATAAAGAGAGAGATTTTTTTTTTTTGTTCTATAAATAAATGTTTTTATGGAAAAGAATATCTGATTTATACTTTTAATATGTCAAGTTTATATTATGATTTATTTTTAATTACTCGAGTTCTGGAAATTATGTGTGTATCCCAACCTTCCTTTTCAGGGTTTTTAATTTTTTCTCTTTGAGAAAGCTCTTAAGTTGCTAAAGATGGTAAATATATATTTATAGAGCTCACTTAAAGATAAAAAAAATCATATCTGCTTCAATAGTAGAACTTAAACATATATGGCGCTTGTATTATTTAAAATAAAAACTTTTACATATTTTAATTCATCTTTTAAATCAATAAAATTAGTCAAGTAAGTAATAAAAGCATACTCCATGAAATGTTTTGAGTAAAGCAGTTGTAGGAGATTGGACACCTAGGATGGCAATGTGTTCTTAGTTTCTGCCTTTTCAAATATTTTTAACAATTTTTTTTACTGTAATTTATTTATACTTTTTAATTTCTGCCTATATTGTTACTCAGAAATATATATATATATAAATTGTAGAAGGATCATTATTGGTATTTATAATATAATTAAATATTAATTATTTTAACTTCTTAATTTTTTCTGTGGCATTATTCTTATTTTTTTTCATTTTATTAGATTCGGAGTCCAGTTTAAATAATTTATTAGTTCTCAGTAAAATAATTCATGGAGCATGCTCTAAGCTTACAACAGAAAATTAAATAATCTAGCTATGGGCAAATTATTTTTTACCCTCTAGATACCTGAATAAGTGGGCCTAGATATTCCAGGTTTTACTTTTCTGAATAGTTAAATCTTTTTGCTGTCTGAATAATTAAATAATTGATTAACTTGTTCAAATAGTTCTTCTCTAGTAAATAAATCATTTATTTAATACTAATAGTAAATTTTGAAATACTTTATCTTCTGTTTTTCTTATCCATTTTGAAAAAGATAAAAAAACTCTTAAGTGGTTCAGGAAAATTATAATGCATTTGTTGAAGTAAATATAATTGATAAACTGCCATTAGTGAATAATAAAACCTTTGACAGCTATTAACATTTTAAAGGGAATATCTTGCATTGTTTTAAATGTGATTAAAACATTTAAAAATGTAATTAAATGAAGTGTATATTTGAAAATATTTGTAAAACCAAATTGCTTGGATTTGAGGATTAATTGCCTCATGTGGTTTCTATCTTATAATTCCCCATTTTAAACTAATACCTTTGAACAATTAAATTTGAAGAGCACTAAAAATAATCTGAGTTCGATAAAATTTCTTATGAGAAAGGTATGTGAAAGTTTTAACAACCAAGTAGTTTTACTTAGAAGAAATTGGAATTATTAAAGTCCTTCTTGTTTTTTGAATTATTGTTATGGTGTTGCAAAATTTGTCATTTCATATTTTATTTGTCTTAACATCATGCCAATTATTCAGTATCAATGGATTGTACATAGTGGTATCCTAAATAAATTAATGAAGTTACTTTCTGTCTTCAAAGGAAAAATAAGTTTTTCATGCTGATAGGCAACTAATTTTTAAAATAACCATTTCCTAATTCCTCCTAATCATTCAACATTTCATTTTAAATTTAAAAAAATAGACATTGTACTTGTCTTTTTGATAATATGGACAATTTTGTTTGGTGCAGATTTATTGTTTCAAAGAAGTGAGCAGTTAAGGTTTTACCAATACATGTCCATACCTAGAAAAGAAATTATCAGTGACTTGTCACAGTGATTTCTTTATTGTACATTTTAGGTATTAAGAGAATTAAAAAAGAAATATATATATATTTAAATTTAAATAATGTTTTATTGTGTTACTTTCTTTTGGATTATCTGTTGGCCTAATACTTTTGTTACGATCTGATTCCTCAATTTTAAAAAGTGGATTATTTGGTTCTTTGGTTTAGTTCCTATTGACAAATTTTGCAACAGTTTATAACATATTTACAAGGCAGTCAACATGTATGTTATCATCTTGTCAGAATTGACAATCTGTCTGTAAATAATAAGGGATATTACGGTAAGTACCTTTACATGTATATATTTCTTTGTATACTCCTTCCTTCCATATAGATTTCCCCATGTGCCAATTTTATATAGATTTAATTTCTTTATTTTTTTTTCTTTGAATTTTTTTAAACATATATATTTTAATAATGTGTTACGAATACTGAACTATTTACTATATATTTGAAAAAAACAACCAATTTTATTTAAATATTTATATTTTTATAGATGTATATTTTTTTTTTTCTAAACACGCACTTTGATATTTTATATATATATATTGCAGCATTTGTTCTCGTTCGTATATAATTCATTTAGTTTCAATATAATTACATTTTGTAATATATTTAATTATTGTCTAGTCTATTACAATATCTTATGGTGTTTTTACATAGTTAACATATTTTATTTATCTATGCCATTGACAATTTTAATTTTTTTCCCAAAGATATCTTTCAAAAACATACGTTTATATGCTTATACTATATTTTTGTATTTGTATATTTTAAAACATTCTATTTTTATTTTAAATCCATGTGTTTATTCTAATTATATGCATAGCATTTACTATGAAAACTTATGTTATTCTTTGTATTTTTCCGTGATGATTTATTATCCTGTTTTTAATTTCTTCATAAATTTTTCAATATATATATATATTTGTATTTTTTTTTCTCGGTGTTTATTTTTAGTATGATATAGCTTATGGTATATGAGATACTATATTTGTTTCCTTAATAATAGAAACAAATGAGGCACATGTGTAGAATAGTTTAGAATATAATATGCTTTTTTCTTTTGTTTCTTTATTTTTTTTTTAATCATATTTTTGTGTGTTATTGGATCGTTACTTCTGCATGAAAATTATTTTTTGTTTTGTTTATCATACCTAGTTATGTTTTTATAGTAAGCCTTTAAAGGTAAGGAAAGGAATACTTATGAAATATATTATTAATAAATATCAAACATCATTTTAGTACAGTTGAAATAAATTCTCAAATCTACCTTATTTGAAGATCAGTTGTTGAAAAGTTTTTATATTTGCATTTTATTACCTGACGTGATACTTTCTATTTTACTGGATGATCTTCATAAAACAGTGAAGCTAGTGTTTTAAAAAATAAAAATAAAACCCTTTAATAATTAATAATAGTAGGTTGAGGAAATTTTCGGTCTTTAAAATTAACAAATTATAAAATTTGTGCTGAATAATATGCAATTTTTTTTTTTTTTGTGGTTATTCATTTGATAAGACCTGTAATTGATTTCAAAGTTAAAAATGGTCTAAACAATGTATATTATGTTATAACTAATGTATTAAGTTTTAACTTAATAATATTGCAGCATTTGTTCTCGTTCATATATAATTCATTATATATAATATAATGCAAATAAGAACAAAAGCTGGTGTTTAAAAAAAAAAATAAAACCCTTTAATAATTAATAATAGTAGGTTGAGAAAATTTTCAGTCTTTAAAATTAACAAATTATAAAATTTGTGCTGAATAATATGCAATTCTTTTTTTTTTTTTTTTTTTTTTGTGGTTATTCATTTGATAAGATCTGTAATTGATTAAAAGTTAAAAGTGGTCTAAACAATGTATATTTTGTTATAAATAATTTATTAAGTTTTAACTTATTAAAAGATTGTTTTAAAAGTCTTAGCCCCTGACTTTCGTAAAAGAGACATAAGACATTTTGATGGCAGTTGACAACATGACTTTTCACATATTTTATTTCGATTTTTTTGATCAGGCAACCAATATTTTATTTATGTAAGGTTCTTTATTTAACGTGACGATGCTGGGTTAGGTATCAGTTTCAAAAATAATAATTATTAAACTACTTATAAAAAATCCTGAAGGGGTTGTGTCTTCTGAACCATGGATTTTATTTACTATTAATGTAACAAAAACAAAACATTAATTTTATTCTTTTAGTGTTTCAAGAAACTGTTTTGCTGTTGTAGATATAATTATTCATCTAATAAAAATTTGTTGTTTCTGAATAGAAAGAAAAACTAAACATTTCCTTTATCACTAAAATGGTTAAATAGAACTTGAGAATTGGGGTTCCCAAATAGGGTATTCATGGCACAAGTTGCACCATCAAAATTTTTGAGGAGGGCAAATTTTGACTTTATGAATTTTCAGAATGATAAGTTTGAAGCCATTTGTAATTTTATATGATCTACAATTTTTCTAATTCTACTTTCGCCAGAACAGTTTTCAAGAAGAGAAAGTTGAGTTGAGCAATAAAATATCTTTGGTGGAGGAGGAGAGTGGTTCGTGTATCATTAACCTAGGGGAAGATAAGCACCCTTGCTTGAGAATAGATTTATAGCATTATGGTTATGAAATTTATTTTTACTAACTTCAGTTAAGAGAGGTATATATTTCACTAACCATCAAATTGTTCTTATCTTTGTTACAATGGAGGAGATTTTAGTTTTAAATCAATAATTTATACATTCTTTCCTTATTGGCTATGTGGATTCAAATAAATAATTCTTCTGGGTTCTGGTAGTCTTCTGTAAGGTTGTTTTTCATGTAAGTAGATGAGGTGTTAAACTTGCTTATTAAGGACAGCAGAGTCCTGCTAATGTGTGCTTGATGGAACCAGGCCTGTCCTAATCACTGATAGTCTGCATTAAATGGAATTAGCTTTGAAATACACATAAGTAATATTTGTTTTTTCCCTCTCCCTCATAAGTAGACCTTTTCTTTCAGCTTAATTAAATTTTTTGACCAAAGAACTGGAACAGGGTTATCAAATCTACTAAAACAAAATTAATCTATTCTACAGAATCATAAAACAAACCAAACTTATTTAACAAATCATAAAATAGTTTAATAATTTATTACGAGCATAAATACAAGTTTTGGTGGACCATTTGCTTGTGTAAATTGCTAAAACAATTATGTTTTTTGTGTTACCTGATAATATGCATTTGTAACCTGTCTTACGTCAGTCCCTCTCTATAAACTATCTGTTATTGATAAATTAAATTATTAGTTGAGTAAGTTTTAATTATTTTTAAAAATTCTTGTCCAGATTAGTGGGACTCAACTATATCCGTAAGAGAAATACCATTGAGATCATTTTTCTATGTTAACTATTGAACCATAGATCATTTTCAACTGTTGCCCTCACCAAGACTCCCACATGATTTTGCCTGAAGGATCAGGGTATATTAACGAACTGTTATTTTCTTCCCATAGGCTGATGTTATGCTTACTGATTAGACATGTTGACCATTATAATTGTTCATCCATTCTGTCTCTATCAGGACCTCAGTTTCTCTATTCACCAACTAACAGCTTTGCAAGACATACAACAGTTAAATGAGTGTATTTGGTGAAGAGAAGTGACTGAGAGAGATAGCTCACTTAACAATTAAAAGTTATGTTTTGGCTCCACTTATTAAAGTACATGTTGAATAGATTAGATTTCATTGGCTATTGGAACTACTTTTTGTTATTAATTCTAATTAATTACTCAGTTACTGACTGTTGTCTGTAACAGAATGAAGGATGTAAATCAGCTCTAAATATCTATTTACATTCTTATAACATAATGACACATAGTAGGATCTTTTAAAAAAATTATATTTTAGATAGCATTTGTCCTGATACAAAATGTCTTTTAGAAGACTGTGTTTGAGTGTATATATATATATATATATATATATATATATATATTATATATATATATATATATATATATATATATATATATATATATATTATATATATATATATATATATATATATATCAAATTCTATACCCTTAACCAATATCTGATGTGTTTAAATACACAGTTCTATAAAAAACAGTTTGAAAATGAAAGTTTATTGAGGAACCATTTTTAGATAAATACTATTTTAATATTAATAAGACTTATTAATTTTAACTTGACCTATGAGTGTATTAGTATTATAAAACATAATGGATCGGTTTTTCAAATGGCATTGTGGTAAAAAGATATTTTTTTATTAAGTTAATTTGAATATTTTTGTTCTTTATTTTGTTCCGTTTTAGGATATATTCTAACCTTGTTATGCTTTACATACTTTTGTCTGTTTAATTTGAATGTTTATTATAATAATTTAATGTTTTATTGTTGAATCATCTTATTATAATGATAATTAGAAGACATTATTTTGATAGTTTAGTTATGATTTCATGTTTTGTTTTGTTTTCCCCCCTTGAAATGATCAGATATCCATTTATGCAATCTCAGCCTAGGGTATTACAAAAATAATTTTTGTACTAGGTTTGAAAAAGACCCATTCAAACTACCACTAAGAGCATGTTCTGGAAAATGCTTTGATGTAGTTACACCATTTCATCGCCAGTCATTCAGGTGAGACCAATATATTATTTATGAAGGCAAAATTTCCAGAATTATGGTTGTGTTATTAAATCATCACAGTGTGATCATAATGATAGTCTCAATGTATAGTATTTCCAAGTCTTGTTTTTTAAATCTTTTCCAAATCAATGACAGTGCCCATTCTAAATCACTCGGTCTTTTCCATAATAACTTTATTCTTTTGATATTTGTTTCAATTGTAACCGTTTCATTTCATTTTGAAAGATTCTTAAACTTGAATTGTTCCTCAATAAAATGTTATACATGATGAAATAATTTTTTTAATAAAAAAAATCACAAATATATAATATTGATAGCTATAGCTGGAGATCACTAGATCAAATACTGTTCCGAAGGATATTAAAACAATAGTCCTCTTGATTAGGAGGTGCCAACAAGCTGAAAAATACTGAATACTAGTAAAGATAGCTATAAATAAATAAGAATAAAATACAAATGTGCTTAAATATATTTTTCAATTATAGCTACCCATTTATTTAGTCCAAATCCAAAATACTGATAATTTTTAAATACTTTCCTTTCTGAAAGCTTGTCAGTTATTTCAATAAAAAATTCAATGTTTTTTACACCATAAGCCCTGGTGTTAGTTTGTGTTTCCTAAAACAATATTTTTAGATTAAATGTTGAAAATATTTTTTATTATAGATCAGTTATTTACAAATGAAATGGAAATAGTTACATTTGAAATAGAATAGGATATGATTGAGATTAAATGAGTTTCTTCTTATACAACCAGGGATTCCTTAGTTTTGAAATAAAAGGGTTTTACTATCCATAAAAACAGATTTATTTAATATAAAATAGTTGATAGCGGGAAGTTTTTACCTCTGATTGTTGAATTAATATAGACTTCGAAATGCTGATTGCATTGTTTCTCTATGTTGCTATTAAGTATGAGAGTTCTCAAATATTATGCCTGTACACAATGATTTTACTTGTAGTTTATATCTCATTCACTAACAAATTCTACCCAAATACTGTAAAGGCAGGATTTAAAAACCTGATAGTGTTAGTTTATACAATATTGCAAATAATGGGTTTTGATTAAGATCTCACCCACTCCGAAATTCTGTGAGGTAAAATAAAACAAATTTCTTTCAGTATTGTATCGTGTTTTCATTTTCCTAAATCTTTATTTACAATATTTTCATCTATGTTATTCTACATAAGCCTATTACTGCTTCATTTTAATTTGGATCTGATGATGTGTGGGATACAAATTACAAGTACAATAAGTGTATATTTAATATATTTGTTTGCTCTTATTTATTCTCTTTCTTAAATAAAATAAAGTTCATTTGAATATATTTATTCATTAGTTAATTGTCTTTTCTAGCTATGTAAGAAGTTAATGAGAATGTTTAAACAAAAAATCAGACAGCTACATTCATAGGTTGTATTGCCTTTAGCCCTGCACTTCTATTTAAGACACATTCTTTATATAATCTAAGAAATATCCATTATTGACTTAATAAATTATTCCATTTATTTTATTGTTATATTTATTTATTTTTTGTTAGTTTAATTTTGTATTATATATTCTGATAATAATTAATTTCAATTTTCATCAGCTCATAAAAACAAATTTCTTATTTTGAAATACATGGAGAAGTTACTGATGTATCCTATTTGAACTTTTTAAAGAGATCTATATTTGTTCATTATTAATTTTTAATTCATTTTATTGTTTTCCTCTTATGCATGCTATTTTCCTATTTTAATGAAGTTCCTAATGAGTAATATTGTTTTATTGCAACTATTAATCCATATTGTTTTAATTTTGGATCTTAAATATCATATCGTAGGTATTAATGTTTTGAATTAAATAGTATTTTTAATGCAAGTCCAAACAATCTGCCTGAAAATGTTAGAAAATTATCATATTGGTCCTGAAGATAATATTGCAAACTTCATTAAATATATATTAAGTTTTTCCTATGAGACTTAAAAACTCAAAAAATATGTTGGTTGAACTTACCCTTCCAATGTTTTTATAGATATCTATTAATTGTTATTTAATATACTAGTATTTTGAATTCATAGTAAAATAATGATGAAAATATATTTAAAAAATAACTATAGATTGTCATTGTATGTTGTTGGCATAAATATTTAAAACATATTTGCTGGGTATCAACTGGACCTGAAAAAGTCTAGAAGTTTTATGAAAAAAAAAAAAAAAAAAAAATAACCTCAAGTCGGCAAATTTTATTAGCCATACGATGCGTCCATAAATTTGTTGTTGGGATTTTGGATCATTATTGGTTGCAAAAAACTAAGGTAATATTGATACTCACATGGATAAACAGGGCATAACAAATATATTCTGGTCTATTCATCCATTTTTAGTTATTAACTTTTTTTTTTCTCCTGATTATATTCTTAAAAATATTTATCAACAACCTATTTCTTTATACAAGCTGTTATAGTGGTTTTCAAAAATCATTTTGTACTTAAGAAGATTTTTCCTTTGGTAAAAAAACCTTTATTCGCAGTCACCCACCATATCTGGTGGGCTTCACTATCCAGTAGCTGAGGTTCTCCTCTGGGCCTAAATTTATTTTATTTGTTTCAAATTTAGTATCGACACCCCAAGCCGGGCAGCACACTTACAGCCACAATAGTACCGCCACAAAGGATTATGGATTATTGTTAGGATGTATGAAAGCTTTTATTTGTTGTACCAATGATGGGTATTGTTTTTCCAAAACTGAAGAGGACCCCATTATTTATTTAAGAAAACAGGGATCAAAACGTTTTAAACAAAAAGAATAAACAGAAGCTATTGTAGTTTATTAATAAATCAGTTTAGTAGTTTATTAATAAATGTAGTTTAGTATCCTATTTTCTGACTATAATTACTATCTATTTATATGTTATGTATTATTATATACACAAGGGTGTCCCATAAGTAGAGGAGAATATTTATAGGAGTGATAACAATCCCCAAGAGCAAAAAAAAAAAAAAAAAAAAAAAAAAGAGTTTATATAAACAATAGTCCGATTTTCAGCAAGAAAGTAGGATATTAAAGTTTTGTAATAATATAAAGTATGGCTGTGTATGTTATTTCACCACATTTATCAGTTGACTACGGAATGGAAAAAAAAGAGAGGACACCAGCAACAGATCATTAAATTATTACAGCAATGACCCCTTTTATCAGATTGGGAATGTAGCCATGAATTTAATAGATAGAGATAGAAAGTTAACTAGTAAGAAACACATAAATAAACAGGGTGTCCAGCAATCGGGAAAACCGGGAATAGTGTGGGAATTTCTAAAAAAAACTGGGAACTTGAGCATGGTCGGGGAAACAGGTATAGGATACCTGGTGAGCGGGGCATGGATTTCCGAATCTATTAATGTTTACAATTTTAATTTCTATTATAAATTTGTGTAAAAATATAAATGATAAATAAATAAGAATATCTCATCATAATTTTATGAGAATATCAGTGTGTTATCACTCCTGTAATTACAAGTGTTTGCATTTTTAAAGGCATGTATTTTGATGCAAATACTTGTACTGAGACCAGTAAATTTGCCATAATATTAATATTTAATTTTTAATTAAAAATATTTATACATTCTTTCATGTGAATATAACAATATTCTTTACTACACTTGTAAATGCAACTATATTTGTATTTACAGGAGTGAATACGATTGCAAATATACGTATTTAGACTTGCAAATTTGAAAAAATTATAAATATTTTTTAAATAATACAGAGTAATTATCCATAATTTTATGTGAATATAACAATATTCTATATCACATATTTAAATTTAACTGTGGGGGAATGAGGAGACAAATATGCCCAACTCTAATGTGTAAGAGTGGGCTTTACTCGCCATACATCTCATTCATTTCAAGAACCATTTTGGACATTTTTCGTTCGCATATAAACATGTACAGTAAAACTCATATATGCTGCATTTAAAGGAAAAAGAAAGGATTTTCTTGAAAAACCCAGAGATAAAGAAAAAAACTTTAAAAAACTTAAAAAATAATGTATTATGCTCGAATGCCAATAATATTTAATTTTGAGGGTTCTGCGCTCATTAAATTAGTTGTGGTCAGTAAAAACAGTTAGGGGGTGAGGAAAGCCCATCTGGACAAAAGTTTCATTTTTATTTTTATCCCTCATCAGACAAGCAGAAAAGGATGTAACAAATTATAGAATAATTAGGATTTATTTAATGTATTTAATTGTTGTTTTTATTCATTTAAAAGATTTTTTTTTTGTAAATTTTGCTTTTTATTATACTATTGTTAATTTTTATATTTTATTTAGCCTGATGAAGGATCTGTAATCCTGTTGGGAAAAAAAGTTGCAAATAATCCATGATTGTAAAAAAACATAACTTACCTTAATTTGACTTGTTAAAACTTTTTTCTAGATTTTTGTCTACTTACGATAGAAGGAGGGAATTTCGTCTAGTTTGTTTTAAAACAATTGTTAATCACTATATTTAAATATTTTTGTAGTTATCACTTTCTATTCAACAAAAATCTATCTAACTTAAAAAAGTACAAAACTTGAATTTCTTAGTTTCTGTGTGAAATCAGACAATGGTTTGTTGCTTTTGTAGGTTTAAGGTCCTGATATCTCTCATTACCAATTATATGAAATCAATGTCAATCTAATCCATATCATATCTTCGTATCAATATCACAAAATACTTAATTGATTGATATCGAATACTATGATGTCAAAGAATTGTTATAATCATCGAAAAATTATAATACGAAAAAAATAAATATTATACATCACCCCTTATTGCCAAATTATAATATTATAGGGTCATTTCATACCAAATCAACCAGAGTCTGACCCAGTGGGTCTTGGATTTTATAATTTTTTGGTTATTTGTCGAATGTGTTAATATAAAGAAAAATACAAAACTTTAGACTTTTTTGACTTAAGGCTTTTGAGTTATAAATTTTTAAAATAATATTGAAAAAA